TTTTTTTGTTGCTCAAACTAGTCACCGTACTAAGTAACCGATGTTAAGGCAGCGATCTTCCCCTCTGAGCTACTGTTTTCTGACATGGGGACTGCCGCCCCCCACCAGAACACACAGATCAGCGCTCACAGCCCATTGGCTGCAAACGCTGATCAGGTTGTGGTTTTCCAGCCTGCTTGTTCAATAAAAGCCGGTCATTAGACCAGCTTCTGTTGGACAGACTGCTGTTCACATGGACCGAGTGTCAGCCGATTTCTATTGAACTGGCCAATATTCAGCCCATGTGTACCAGCCTTTACCCAGAACAACTGTGCAGGTCAGAAAAGTCAGAGGACCTTATCTAAACACTTGTTCTGGGTCAGTGACTTAAAGGGCTAAAGAAAAGGGCTCTCTCCCCTTTCCCATTACTCCGTTTGCCTACCAGGACCAAAGAGACATATCGGAAATTTTGAGTATATGTGAGCATGCCATACACTTGCCCTCTTACATGTGATGGTGCTCATACCTCATGATTGGCTAAGGAGTATCACATGGGAAAAAGGAAATAATTCATAGCCATATGTAAGCTTTGACAAGTTGGTTTGAAACCTACATAGGACTTTCTTTTTCAAGTCCCGACAGCTGTATATAATGACAGTGGCAAGGAAAGGTAAGTATGTACTACTGGGGAGGCACAAAGCTAAGATTAAGAACATCAACTGGCAGTTATCCTGGGCCAGTTACATATGCTACAAGTTTGATGTCCCAACTCCAAATTCCACCAAAACAAGGAGCTGTAATAGGAAACAATGTTTTGTCAGGGAAAATGTATAAATAATGTTAGACTGTTTTCAAGGATATGTCTGCCCATCAATTGACTATAGCAATATCGTACACTGTCTACCTGAAGGACCAAGGCTCACAGGGGCATATGTCGAAGAGCACAGGGCACCCTTCAGACATACTAAACTGTTGCACAATTCGTAAAACATGTCCATCTGCTTACACTATGAGGGAGATGTACTAAAACTGGAGCACACAGAATCTGGGGCAGCTGTCCATAGTAACCAATCAGCTTCTAAGTTTTGTCAAAGCTTAATTGAACAAGGTGAAGGTAGAAGATGATTGTGTAACATGCACAGCTGCACCAGATTCTCTGCCTTACCACTACTAAGGTTTACACAATACACTTGTTTAGCTAGCATCAGCAAAGTAGTTTGTTTTAACTATGTTGTAACCATTAAATTACTGAATTACCATGACATAGAAATGTAGTAAATGGCGGAACTATCTTTTTTCTTAGCAGGACTGACATATTATACATCTGCTCTGTAGTAAAGAGGATACAAAATTCTTTATTTAAAAAGACAAAAAAGCAACATGCAAAACACAGTAACTTGTAGAAACCAATTGTAGCAATGGTACCTTGCTCTATCTACTCTAAAAAAAGATAAAAACAAGATTTGCTCTTGGTACTGCATTTTAAATGTGTTTGGCCCCACATCCAATCACTCTCCAAATGTTGCCACCTTAATCTCATAACATCTTCAACATATGCCCATTCTTACACACCACCACAAAACTACAATTCACTTCTTTGTTATTCCTCACCTCAACTATTGCAACTCCCTTTTCATTGGCTACCTTTACATAGGCTATTCCCCCTTCAGTCCATCATAAATGCTGGTGTCAGATTAATCTATATTACCAACCGTTCAGTGTCTATAACTCCCTCTGCCAATCCCTCCAGTGGCTTTCCCTCACCTAACGAATAAAATGCAAAAACATCCACAACTCTGCCCCAAGCTACATCACCAACCTTGTCCAACTATCTCCTATTTTGTCCACCTTTAGGTGATCCCTGAACACCCTATCTCTTCAGGGAGGACTATCCTGACTCCAACTAATAAACTGTAATTTTTCTGTTTCCATCAGTTGATCCCTAATAGTTATTACTTTTTGTATCACTTGATCCTCCCTTTTAGATTGTAAATGCCAATGAGCAGGGCCCTCTAATCCCTCTTGTATTGAAATTGTAATGTAACTGTAAGTGTCCCTCCATTTTGTAAAACACTGCACAAACTCAGTTATTATACAGAATGTATAAAGCATCGGCAAAGTGAAGGCTTGAGCTTAGTGGAGTATTAGAAGAAATGTGTGTTTTACATTTACAGACAGAGCAAAAAGGCAAATCATAACTACAGTTTATTAGGAAGTAGAACTATCACTGCAAAGATATGTGCTAAAGTGGTTCTAAAGGCAGTAGGTTTTTTACCTTAATGCATTCTATGCATTGAGGTAAAAAACCTGCTACATGCAGCCCCCCTCAGCCCCCTATATTTACCTGAGCCAAATCGTGATCCAATGATGTGCACAAGAGCAGTGGCTCTCTCTCCTCATGGTTCAAGGACAGCCAATGGGTCTTGCTGCCGTCAATCACACTCAGTGAGGAGAGAGTGAGGGGCAGGGCCAAGCCTCGCTTTGTGTCAATGAACACACAGAGCTGGCTCGGGAGCAAGTAAGCATGAGTGCCCTATTGCAAGCAGCTTGTTATGAGGGCACACAATTGGGGGGGGGGGGGAGCGCTGGCAGGGGCCCCGAGGAGGATCAGGACTGCTCTGTGCAAAACTATTGCACAGAGCAGGTAAGTATGACATTTTTGAAAAATAAAACATTTTGATTATAATCACTTTAAATTCACAACCATGAGTTGAGAAATATTAACACACTTAAAGTGATTCTAAAGGGTTTTTTTTTCTTTAAATAACAAACGTCATACTTACCTGCTCAGTGCAATGGTTTTGCACAGATCAGCCCTGATCCTCTTCTTCTTGGGTCCCCCACTGGTGCTCCTGGCTCCTCCACCTTGACCAATGCCCCCAATAGCAAGCCACTTCCTTTGTGGGCACTGGTGCTTGCTTGCTCCTGACCCCGCTCTAAGCTTCCATAAGACAAAGAGCCAAGGCTTGAGCCCCGTTCTCTCCTCATTGACTCAATGGCTGTGATTGACAGCAGTAAGAGCCAGTGGTTCCCGCTGCTGTGTCTCAGCTACAGAGGAGAGAGTCCCGGGACAGCTGAGGCTCCCGTGCACATCGCTGGATCGAGAGAGCGCTCAGCTTAGTATTAGAGGTGACTGTGAGGGGAGCAGCACACAGAAGGTTTTTTACCTTCATGCACAGAATGCATGAAGGTGGAAATCCCTAAGCCTTTACAAAATGACAGTTTACTGTAGTTGTATACCCCACTAATGGAGTACTTTTCCATAGCCTCCTGTAAAACAGCACAAACTCCTAGCCCTCCCCCAAAGAAAACCTTTGTAGAATATTGTCGTATACCACAATTAAATCTCACCAGTGAATACACTGTCTGCACATTTAGGCAAGTGAGTATTTTGACTAAAATCATAATTTTTATGCATATTGTCTAACTCCAAGCTGTATAAACTTGAATGCTTATTGGATTTAAGCATACCAGGTGATTTGTGTTTGTGTAATGAGGGAGGGCGTGGCCTATGGAGACCAACATCCTGTATCAAGGTAATAATTATTAGGCAGCTTCCTTTTCTCAGGTAAAATGGGCCAAAAAAAAAGGTTTAATTGACTGTGAAAAGTCAAAAATTTTAAAAAGTCAGAGGGATGCAGCACTCTTGAAATTGCTAATGGGGCGTGATCACAGAACCAAACGTTTTGCTGCAAATAGTCAACAGGGTCGCAAGAAACGTGTCGAGAAAAACAAAAACACAAATTAACTGCCAAAGATTTGAGAAGAATCAAAACGTGAAGCTACCAGGAATTCATTATTCTCCAGTACTGTCATATTTCAGAACTGCAACCTACCTGGAGTTCCCAGAAGTACAAGATGTTCAGTGCTCAGAGACAAGGTCAAGTTAAGGAAAGCTGAAACCCGACCACCATTGAACAAGACACAAATTGAAATGTCAAGACTGGGCCAAGAAATATCTGAAGACAGATTAATCAAAGGTTTTATAGACCGATGAGATGAGCGTGACTCTTGACGTACCAGATGGATGGGCCCGTGGCTGGATCAGTAACGGGCACAGAGCTCCACTTCAACTCAGACGCCAGCAGGGTAGAGGTGGGGTACTGGCATTGGCTGTTATTATTAAAGATGAGCTAGTTGGACCTTTTTGGGTTGAAGATGGACTCATAATCAAATTCCAAACCTACTGCCAACTTTTAGAAGACACTTTCTTCAAGCAGTGGTACAGGAAAAAGTCTGCATCTTTCAAGAAGACCATAATATTTATGCAGAACAATACTCCATCGCATGCATTGAAGTACTCCACTGCATGGCTAGCAAGTAAAGGTCTTAAAAATTAAATAATGACATGGCCCCCTTCCTCACCTGACCTAAATCCTATTTAGAACTTGTGGGCCCTTCTTAAACAGGAGATTCACAGTGAAAGAAAACAGTAGACCTCTCTGAACAGTGTCTGGGAGGCTGTGGTTGCTGCTGCACAATCACAACTGACAGACTCCATGAATGGAAGGCTTATGACTGTTATTGAAAAGAAGAGTGGCTAAATTAGTCACTGATTTTTTTTTTTTTTTTCTTTAAATATCAGAAATGTTTATTTGTAAATTTTGAGTTGTTCGTTTATTATTCTCACTTTAACAGATGAAAATAAACAAACGAGATAGGAAAATGTTTGTTTTTCATTTAGTTGTATAATAATTCTGTGCATTAATAGTTGCCCAATAATTGTGCAAACATATATATTCTACTAATAAAGCCAAAACCTCACTTTTACTTTCTTAAATATTCAGGTTTGAGGTTTATTAATATTTTGGATTGACCGAGAGCACTGTAGTTTTTCAATAACAAAATGAATCCTCAAAAATACAACTTGCCTAATAATTGTGCACACAGTATAAAATCAGTCACTGCATCACCTAGTCCTGGTAATTCTGTGAAATGTCAAGATAGTCCGATTCCACTTTTCTAATTAGAAATTTGCCAAAATCTCTTAAGTGAGACAAAGATCAGAAAATTAAAATTACCTCTTTCATTATCCCAAATTTTTCATGCACAATCTCTTCAACACTTTTAATTTTGCTGAGAGTAGCTTGATGCTTGAATAACATGTCTTCTCTGTCTCGTAAACACTGCTCCCGTTTCTTTAGTTGAAGTGAATACTCATGCTGTGACATCCTTTCTTTCTATAGAAATACATGGTTGTATTAATAAAAGTCTTTAAAGCTGTTAAGTAAGACACCATGATGATAACACAAATAGATATATTGATTACGATTCATTTTGCAATCATATCCCTGCAAGCTTGACTCATTCTAGTTTGTTGCACATACAGATGTAAAACAGAAGCCTTGTATGCCTACATTACCAGACCTGATGTACTCAATCTAACAGATCCATATATGGTGACTAGTCCATAATACCAAAACATATACAACTGAAATGCTGTAGTTTGTCAGACAACAAAAGGAGGTCCACACTACATCACTTCTACCTAAAATATATAAGAAAGGTTTTCTTATTACTAGATTGAGCTCTATTTAAACAGGTTTTACCATCCAACCCTTTTTAAATGTACATTTTGCTGGAAACTGATTTAAAGAACAATTATAATCACTTTTTAAAAATAATTGTTGAACCTCCTACAGGACCATGCAGCACTTGATCCTGTTTTGATAATGCTGCAGTTCCAGAGCTACCGTGGTTGACAGAATGCCATTCAGCCCCCCACCACTGTCTGACCATGTTGCATTATATTTATTTATTATTTTTCAGGATGATTGTTTTATTATGTGTTTTTATGTTGTTAATGTGTGTGGGACATGGTTCTCTGTGTGAGAATGGCATCAAACATTTCATTTTACAATGATAATAAAGACCGTCTATTCTATTATTCTATAACAGTTGCACAAATCCCCACTGATCTCTGCATATATATTATTATTATACTATTTAATGAGAATCTGAGAAAGTGGACAGGGGCTTCAGTGCTAACTTTAGTTCTCACTTAGGAACACATAAATTGGAGTTCAGCCTGCTGTGAAGCTGCAGCACAAAACGTCCAAGAAAAATTAAGTTCTTTTATTTCCCAACTACGGCATGGATCTAAATGAGACCAAGTGCTCTATGTACTTGGTTCACTGGGGGAATCAACAAAAATGAAAAAAAAAAAAACTAACATAATAGTTAATTCTTCTCCACTCTAATCACAACTAAAAGCAGTATTTTGTCTTTCTTTCTTTGCAGGTATTTTTCATTTTTCTTCAGCCTTAATTCTGCACAATATATATCTCAATTTAAGTGCTCTTACAAAAGAGGACTGCAGGATACAGTGGTGCACATTCAATCTACCTTTGCATATGTATGCACCATTTGTGTTTTTTAAAATGGACTGAGTTGGACTGTGTAGGTGCTACTTTTAAAGGATAAGTTCAACTTTTAACAAACAATAATAAATACACATTTTTTTTTTGCAGGTAAAAGAATGTGCATTTACTATTTTTTGTTTTAGGAGCCTGTAAAGCATTGCTCCAGTGCTCAGCAGATCCACTTTTAAAAAACAATTGTGACAGCTAGCAGGGGAAGAAAAGCTCCCAGCTAGCTATCACAATGGGGGATGGGGTGGAGCTTGAGCTGGTCCTTTTGTAAGATGTTACACCCTGAATATGGGTGTAACATTTATTTATTATTTATTTCAGGTACTTCTACAGTCAGGTCCATAAGTATTAAGACATCGACACAATTCTAACATTTTTGGCTCTATACACCACCACAATGGATTTGAAATGAAACAAACAAGATGTGCTTTAACTGCAGACTGTCAGCTTTAATTTGAGGGTATTTACATCCAAATCAGGTGAACGGTGTAGGAATTACAACAGTTTGCATATGTGCCTCCCACGTGTTAAGGGACCAAAAGTAATGGGACAGAATAATAATCATAAATCAAACTTTCAGTTTTCAATACTTGGTTGCAAATCCTTTACAGTCAATTACAGCCTGAAGTCTGGAACGTATAGATATCACCAGAAGCTGGGTTTCATCCCTGGTGATGCTCTGCCAGGCCTCTACTGCAACTGTCTTCAGTTCCTGCTTGTTCTTGGGGCATTTTCCCTTCAGTTTTGTCTTCAGCAAGTGAAATGCATGCTCAATCGGATTCAGGTCAGGTGATTGACTTGGCCATTGCATATCATTCCACTTCTTTCCCTTAAAAAACTCTTTGGTTGCTTTTTCAGTATGCTTTGGGTCATTGTCCATCTGCACTGTGAAGCGGCGTCCAATGAGTACTGAAGCATTTGGCTGAATATGAGCAGATAATATTGCCCGAAACACTTCAGAATTCATCCTGCTGCTTTTGTCAGCAGTCACATCATCAATAAATACAAGAGAACCAGTTCCATTGGCAGCCATACATGCCCACACCATGACACTACCACCACCATGCTTCACTGATGAGGTGGTATGCTTAGGATCATGAGCAGTTCCTTTCCTTCTCCATACTCTTCTCTTCCCATCACTCTGGTACAAGTTGATCTTGGTCTCATCCATAGGATGTTGTTCCAGAACCGTGAAGGCTTTTTTAGATGTTGTTTGGCAAACTCTAATCTGGCCTTCCTGTTTTTGGGGCTCACCAATGGTTTACATCTTGTGGTGAACCCTCTGTATTCACTCTGGTGAAGTCTTCTCTTGATTGTTGACTTTGACACACATACACCTACCTCCTGAAGAGTGTTCTTGATCTGGCCAACTGTTGTGAAGGGTGTTTTCTTCACCAGGGAAAGAATTCTTCGGTCATCCACCACAGTTAAGTAAATATAAAACATAAGGAATGCTGCGCTACATTCAAATCAAACAAAATGTGAATGTGGGATCCCAAAATATTAAATAAAAAAATTGAATAAAAAAAATGTGACAATGTTATCAAAACAGGTCTATACGTGCTTACTGATAATAACATAAATCAAATAAATAGCTCAAAAACATGTGGGAACACAAAAAACAATATCTATATATATGTGCATAAACCAAAAAAACACACATATATAATGTAATCACATGTGCCTATTGTGAAGTGAAAAATAACCATAATAATGGTACACACAAACTTATATCTCAAAGTCCAAAATATAAATATTGTTGGTGAACCAAACAGTAAACGGTGCTTCCAAATTGTACTGTTAGTGACCACAGGTGAAAACTCGTGCAGGTTTCTGGGTGTATACAGATCTGCAAAAACACTTATAGAAAAACGTTTTGGTTTTGTATTTCTGATAAGTGCAAAAAAAAAAAAAAAACAGAATTAGACTTACCGGTAACTCTATTTCCTGACGCCAACATGGCAGCATACATGTGATATAGCTCCGCCCCATATATATATATATGAAAGAATCTAGATAACTTCCATTTTGTATTATGTACGCCATTTTAAGTATTAAGTATTAAGTTAGCTTTTTGTAGAGATATTAGAAGTTTAATGAAACTGTTTTTGGTTGTTCAAGGATGTATCAACAGAAGCTAACACGACCCTGACAATGTCTTTGTCTGTCTGTTTTCCCAGAAAGTTAGCCAAAATAATTTGTACCAAGAAATGTATATGTTATGTTTCATGTAGTTAGCTCATGATGGAAAGTTACAAGTTACAGTTTTGAAACTCGCTCCCCCCCTCCCTTATGATTATCTGTAGTCTATATAATCTTATTAATGTCTAATAAACTTGGAACATCTCTGAACATAAGCTGTCGTGATTTCCGTGTTCAAGGGGTGTTCCCAGAATTCTGCTGATAAACCAGGAATCTCTCCACAGACCAGGGGTCTCTGAGGGGAAAAGAAAATCATTCCTTTCAACCCACAGGAGCTGTGTATATTTATAAAAGTCTGACTGAGAGCCAGGGGCGGACTGACAACTCATGGGACCCCCGGGCAATAGGGGATCATGGGGCCCCTGTGTCCTTGCCCAAACTCCAAAAAGCCTATGAAAAAGGTACCATGGGCATCTCATGGGGCCCCCTACTGACTCCGAGCCCTTGGTCAGCGCCTGAGTTTCCAAATGTTCAGTCCGCCCCTGCTGAGAGCAACCTCCCCCATTCTCCTTTTTGTCATCAAGATCTACACCTGCAAGATGTTGCGATAAGTCCCTACCTGCCGAATGAGTTGGACTCTGTCTCGGCTCAGCCTCTCCCAGCGCAGTCCTGCATCTTAGGTTACTAAATGCACCAACAAGGTGGGGAGCCCCTCCTAGTGGTCTTTTGGGGCTGAGGAGTTCTCTAACAAGAGATGCCAGAACCTCATGATCTGCAGCTGAGCTGGAGTTTGTTTGCTGCAGTCCATGCTCCATGTGTTTCTCTGCACACCTGAGTAGGCTCATGGTGCTGGAGTTAGTGCTGCCTCTTTTCTCCCACAGTTTAGTGCTATCCTTTTTGTCTTCCTCCCTTGCCTCTAGCTTCATTAGATTTTGTCATTTTTCCTTTGTGAGAGTGATTTGAGGGGTTTTCTTTTGTCAGCAGTTTTTTTTTTCCTTTCACCTGTGACCAGCGTGTGTACACGATCCGGTCCGAAGTTTGTGGCCATTTCCAATCTCATGGCTGGCTATGGCATCCACACATACACTGTGCAGAGGGCCTCCTGTAGTGACCATGTTTGTTAAGGCATGTGCAGGCTTACGCATGTGCAAGATGGGTTTGCACTTGAAACATCATCTGTTTTTCCTTGCTTGTGCTGCAGATCAATGAGGGGAGGGAGATGATTCAGGCACATATCTTAGATCTGTTTGCTTCTTTTTGTGAGTCTTTCATTTTAGTTTCTGCGCAGTGCTGACATCCTTGCTCCAACATGAACCTTCTGCCACATAACCAAGACCTACATGTACTCAGGCAGGGACCATCAGTGTGGTAAGTAAGAAGATCAAAAAGAATGCCTTTCCATGAACGTGGCTTTCATCTTCTGGTACAACCTAGCTCGCTCTCGCTTAGCATCCCTAGGGGTCTGATTATGTCCATATTTCTGTGCTCAAAGCGGTACATTTTTTTGCATGGAGATATGTATTTTTTTTATTGTAGGCCTGTAATTTTTAGGAATAACTCACTGAAATCTGTCCGAACAAGATCCTAGTAAACATCCCGGGTAGGATAAAACTTGAAACACGAAATCATAAATTATAATTTAATAAATAATCATAATAAATTTAATT